GTCCTCCCACTCTGGCTCTTTCCACCAATTGGAATCAGCCTTCCTTGTCCAACTGAGATTATTGATGCTCTAATTATCCAATGGACGATAAATTTTCTACTTTGGTTTTACTAAAGTCCATCTGTCAAAATCCTGGTACAAAAAGGCTTTTCTGGGAAATTTCGTAATGCCTTGTTTGTACATTCCAACGCACTTTGGCACAATCTACTTTGCCCTCAATATGATACCATGCCTTTATGCCTTTAGGGGAAAATAGGAATACATGAAACATCATGGAAAAACGTTAACCACGAGAAAAGTGTGGAGAAGGAAAAGGATCCAAAGTAGACCAACACATCTGTCAAGCATGGAGGCGGCAATATTATGGTTTGGGCTCGTATGGCTGCAAGTGGAACCTGGTTGTGGTGTTTGATGATGTGACCGCTGATAGAAGTAGAATCCTGAAGTGTACATAGCTGGGCTTTCTGCTCCGATTCTGTCAAACACGACAAGATTGAAATAACATTGCAGATGGATACAGATGAACATGTTATGGCCGGTGGCCACGAGGTGAAGAAGAGCTGGACCTGGAACGAAAGAGGGACAGGATAAGAATTTTAACAAGTTTTATTGAAGGGAACCAGGGAGTGTGGGGAACCGGGGCTGGTGTGCAGGTGCCGGGGTGTGGGGGTGTCTTCTCCGTGAAGTTATCCGTGTAGTGATCTCCCGTGCGTGTTCTCATGCGACGTCCTTCCCGTAGTGGTGCACGTGTGGTAATCCTCCCGTCCGAGTGCGCTGGTGGTGGTCTCCCAACCCCGGTGCTCGTGTGAAGAATCTCCAGGCTTGTGGATCCGTGGGTGGTGAACCAGGGCAGACGTGTTGGGCTGGAGAGGCTGGAAGCTGGGGCTGGTGGAGGAGACACTGGAGAGCAGGAAAAAAATACAACAATTACTCGAGAGCTCGAAAAGAATTTGCATGTAGCACGAGTGCTAAGCTGGCGACCAACAATACCGCTGCAATGAAGGCAATCGTCTCACATTGAAGCCCAGAAAGACCGGTGGCTTTATCCAGCGCTTCACGATGGTGATGAGCTGCAGCTGCGAAGGTGCCGACGCGTACTCCTCCACTCGGCCCCGCCCAGCCTGGAAAACATGGAAAAACACACTCCGGCAACCACCGGAGAATGTCACCAACAACCATAATCAAACACCACAGAACCCAAAATATACTATGAAACCTGAGAGCTTCTTATGGCAAAGCACTCACACCGACTCACCTGATCACAACCCAGTTCACAGCAGTAAAGGAGAGACAATTTAACTTCTACTGTCACTTTAAGCTCTTAAGACCTGGCACCCACATGTGTGGACATAACATTTTGGGTTATATTGCCACAGTAG